ACTGGGGTCTTTTGGCAACGGGAGCTGTCTCACCTTCCAATGAAGTCCCACTGCCCAATATACAGGAGGAGCTCAATAAGTATCCAACAAATTAATTAATTAGGAAATAGAAACCACTGCCTACCTCCCTCACTCTACAAGTAGTCAAAGGAGCTGCCATTTGTGGGGATTCTGTTCAAAAGCTCAGGAGCTTGGCTTCATGGAGTGAAGGGGAACCAGATGAGCAGGGCCAAAGAACGTTATGTTTTCAGTCCCATGATTAAAACTCTCCTGAATGCCATAGGATGACAAGAGCCTGGGGTGCGAGATGTCAACGCACCAGTTGGGAAAAGCCCAAGCACTGCTGATTTTTGTGTGGTGGGACTTTGTAGATGTCCAGCTGGAGATAGGATGGGGTCATAACGCACCGCTAATCCAACAGTAATTCCACACATTAACCCCTCATGCAGCATCCCTGGACTGCTGCTTCTCCACATCTTCCCCTCTGGTTCAAGAACTGGTGGAAGATAAGGCTAAGGCAACTCCATATGCCAAAGTGACCTCTCCTCTCAGCTGTGCTGTGATGAATGACCCTGACCACAACTTCGAGCCCAGAAAACATGTCTGCCAGCTCCCTGGTCAAGTGAGGCCCAGGCTTCAATCCAGCCAAAGGCTTCTCTTTGAGCTCTTGCTTCATCAATCCTCCCTGTGCCATCTCTCTGGATTCTGAGTCACAAGTCTGGGTAGGTCCAGACACTAGGCTTTTTTATAATTAGTTAGTTTATAATTAGAACCATTGCTCTCAGCAATCAACCAACCGGCTCTTTCCCTGCCTTGTGCCATCTGCATCAGTCAAAAACACCAGAAATATGGCTCTCAAGTGACTTGTCAAGGTCCCCTGCCTCCTCCTCCTTCCCTAAGGCTTTGTACTAATCCAATCTCAAGACAATCTGTGTGCTTTTGGTCTTACCTTAGCCATCTAGCTGGTCCCCTACCCCAGGGATCATTGCAATATCAAACTTGTTCACCCCAATTCACACACCCTCGAGGTTGAGCTTCTTCTTCAGAAGATCATTCGGGACAGTACAAAAGAGGCACTCTTCATTCATTTGTTTATTCATTTATTCAACAGGCAGGTACTGAGTACTCATTATGGGTCAGACATGGTGCTAGGCCCTTGGGATACAATGGTCAGTGATACGGAAGAGTGGATCTATGAGAGAGAGACTAGTCTATATCACCAGCATTTGACAAGAAGCTTGAGCCTAGGTCTGTTTTTTCCCTTTCTCTCACATACCATCCAACACTGATTCCAGACCCATGAGTGCTTGCCTAGGGCTGAGGCTGGCCTTGGGGACTGCTTTGCATAAACACTGCCACTTGGCACTTGCTCTATTCCTCAGTGTTTGACATCAGCTCTCCTTATCCATAAATGACTAAACACCAAAAATCATTTATTTACCCAGAATGATTGAGGCCCAAGCCTTCGTCCCCTTCCTTTCTATAGACATCTTGGTTCTGGTTCCATGAGGTAATTATGTAGTTTCAGGATCTTTGGCATGTCTGCACAAAGGACATCAATTAATCCATCCCTTCCCCCATTTAAGACTCTTTCTAAACCCACAGCCATGAGCCAGTGACCTTGTCCATCGTGCTGGTTCTGTTGCCAGCACTAATGAAGATCCCTCCTAACATAGGATGCTCCCCAAATATCTGAGTGTGTGTGAAAATATCTTTCCAAATGGGGCCAAAAAAATATGTTTGATATGAAATATGATACCTATTCCTAGGAAAATGGCTGCCCAGGAAGGAATGACTCAGCAATTGATATTAGTACATCCATGATTTAATAATTTTAAGTTCTAATTTTTAGTTTTTACTTTTAAGTTTTCCAACCAAAGTGTATAATTATATGGACAAATGCAAAACCCTCTATGCAGAGTCAGGTTCAAGCTAAGTTGAATGCGAAGGTTCAAGGTCCTTAGAGGCAGCTTGTCCCAGGGAATGAGAGCAGGGACTCCGATGGGGGGAATCAGGACTAGGGGGGAGTCAAGTCCTCATTCCTCTGGAGATTGATTAGATACAAACCAAAAAAAAAAAAAAAAAGTCAGGGAAATATTGATCTACAGAGATTTTTCAACATGAGAAATATGAACTGAGCAGGAGATCTCAGAGACATGCAGAAATAAGGGCATAAAGAAATATATCAAAAAGAGATATGAGCAAGAGATATGGGTGGCTCAGTCAGTTAAACGTCTGTCTTCAGCTCGGGTTATGATCCCAGGGTGCTGGGATGGAGCCCTGTGTTGGGCTCCCTGCTCAATGGGGAGCCTGCTTCTCCCTCTGCCCCTACCCCTGCTCATGCATGGGCTCTCGCTCTCTCTCTCTCTCTCAAATAAAATCTATAAAAAAGAGAGAGAGAGAGAGAGAGAGAGATGAGCCACACATATCAAATTCTGAGATTGGGCAGGGAGGGAAAGTGACATGGAAGATCAGTTTCTGTTGTGTAGTCCCAGCTCCTGGATGCATTGGTCTGTCATACTGGGAGTGAATTATTTTTTGTAATACCTGCCTTCAACTTGAGTTTGGCACAGGATAGGTTGATATAATGAAGTGAGTGTCGCCAGCAGGATTTGGAACAGTAAAATGAAGACAGGTTCTGCCACCAGGCTGAGCAGAAGTCAAAGCCTGCTTCTACTATTTCTGACTATGTATGACCTTGGCCCAATTAATGAACAACTCTGGACCTCAGTCCATTTATCTGTCATTTGGGGCTAACCAGGCTCACCTCACAGGATTTTGTGAGGACTAAACAAGGTAACAAAAGTGTTTGGTAAAGATTACCTTCCTTTCCTCTTCTTAAAATATTTTTGGAATAGGGGCGCCTGGGTGGCTCAGATGGTTAAGCGTCTGCCTCCTGCTCGGGTCATGATCCCGGGGTCCTGGGATCGAGCCCCACGTCTGGCTCCTGGCTCAGCAGGGAGCCTGCTTCTTCCTCTGCCTCTCCCCCTACTCATGCTCTCTCTCTCTGTATCTCTGTGTCTCGAATGAATAAATAAAATCTTAAAAATATATATATATTTTGGGAATAACTGTCGGAAAAAGAGCAACATATTTGACCAGAAGGATGAGCGTGTGAGCTAAGAACACCTAACACATTTAAAGAACTTGGAAATTTTACCTTCTGCACTTCAAGTCTTTGGGGTTTAAAAAAGACATGCTTTAGATCAGCCCTGACAAGCAGAACTTTCTGCAATGATCGAAATGTTCCAGACCTACACTGCCCGGCACCACAGCCTCTGCCCACATGTGGCTATTGGCCCCTCGAGATGCAGCCCGTGCACCTGCGGGACCAACTTCTTAGTTTTGTTTACTTCGAATTGTTACAAATTTAAACAGCCGTATGTGCCTAGCTGCTTACGGAGAATCGGACAGCGCTCCTTTGCATCTTTCTGGATCTTTGACTATAAGGTTCTCCCGCGCTAGTCTGGACTTGGGGAGGCAGAAGAGTGAGTTTAAGCACGTAGGCTCCGGAATCGGTCTGCCTGGAATCAAATCCCAGCTCGCCGCCGGCTAATCTCGCGTAAGCACGTTATGCCTCGGTTTCCTGATGCTTTACTGCGACTGTGCATTTACTCCCCTGGCCTACCCACTAGGCTATAAACATTGCCATAACACCAATGCCAAGCACCATACCCGGTACACTTAGACTCTCAATAAATAAGTGTTTAAAAAAGTATTGAAGGGACAGAGGGAGGGAGGGAAGTAGAGAAGGAAGTGGAGAAGGAGGAGGAAGAAAGGATTGAAGACACAGGCAGTAATGTTTTCCACGAAGAGTGAGGAAAGCTTCTAAAATAAAATAAATGACAGAATATGGAAGCTTGCAATAAAAATTTCAGGGGACATGGCCATTGAAGATGAAGACAGAGAAGGTACTCTGGGGGAAGACGTACTCCCAGGTGACAGTGAAGGGATCTGACAGCTCGGAGAACCATGGAGAGAGAAAGGTGGACCGAGGGGTCTGGGTAAACCTGCGTCTACAAAAATAAAAGCTTCCATCCTTTGAAAAGTGTGTTCAACCAAGCTTCTTCAAGAGAACACGACTGTGGGGTGTCTGACCCTATCTGTGGAGGTTACAGGCTAATCCAAAAGGCCCCATTGGCAGCCAAGCATGTGTTTGTTGGTTTTCCATACGCAAGTGCTTATTAATCGTACGTTCACCGGTGCCCCAAAAAAGCAGTGTTGGGCAAGTTTTCACAACTGTTTATTCATTATAAATAGTAAATATTTACTGCACTTTTTACATGAAAGACGTTTTTACAACACACTGTTGTCGGCTGAGGCTGCAACGCGGAGACAGCACTGCTCTTGACCCACCAGCCTCTACGACCAACACGTGAACTAAACTGGAACCACGTCTAGTCTCACTACCCCACCACGACATCGTTCTTAACCCTAAAGGGAATGTATCTGTGCCTACCTCGTTCACGGTCCCAAGAAGAGAAAGAAATAAATAACACTGCCCTCCACCTTCTCGTTCCTCTTGACAGCTCGAAAAAACGACCTTATTGACATTCTAAAATGTCACCACACAAACGTGTGTAAACCTCGGTTCCTGCAATCTTTCCCTACTGGAGACCCTTGTATAATTTAAAAGCACACGAGAGCCACGCGGACATTTCTGCTCTTGCCCTGCCTTCCATAGAAAAGAGAAGAATGTAAACGTCGTCCCTGCAAAAGCGTGCTTCTCGAACGCCGTCCCCAGTCGACAGGAGCAAGCTGGCCGTCGGCGGTCCGTTAAATGGCGGACGTCACGCATTCTGCCGCAATGAATCATGGGCTGCGAGAATAAAGCGCCCGCCAAGATACGGTTGCGGTTCCGTTCCTACGGCCCTGGCCGTCGCCAAAGCCTCCGTGAGGTACAGTATTGCACACCGATAAGCAGCTGGGGGAACGCCCGTCACTTCCTCTCCGCCACGCCGCCCCCTCCCCCCACCCCCCCGGCCAGGCGGGCTCCCGGATGAAAATGAACCGCGCAGATGTCGCTCGCCGCTCCCCACACCGAGGAAGAAAGCAAGCTTTTTCTTCCCAGTATCCCACGTCCTGTTGGCAAGGCCGTCCGCCCCGCGACATTTATTGACAACCGGGTTACGAAGGAGGATGAGATCACAAATAATTTATTGGGGAGGTCCTTTACAGCTAGTCTAGCTTCCTAAAACATGGTGCCGTTTCTTTTCGTATCAATTTCCAGTGTGTAAAAGAGCCAAGGATTCCTCCGCTCCCGCTTCATCACGTGAGCGGTTTTGAAATGGTGTGTGAGCATTGAACGTCAAACGTGTTACACTTGAGAGTCCGCTCCGACTATAGTCTGGAACATTCTGCTCGCTGAACCAGTCCAGATACATCTCGCACGCGCGCACGCGCACGCGCACACAAACGGAATGTTCTCGCGCCTCGATCATCAGCACCAAAGAGTTGGGGTATTTGACGTGTAGCCATGTTAAATCATCGCCTTAAAATGTTGCATTTGTCTTTTCACTGTTCCAGGCCTTCCTTTCCTCCGCTGCTTCTGTCCAATATGCTCAAAAGAACTTGAAACCAACTACTGGAGGAAAAAAAACCAATCACTCTTCTCCGCCTTCCGGTGAGACTGCCCCCCAAAAAGATGATTTTTTTTTTTTTTTTTTTTTTTCCCCGAGAAGATTCTTCACGTGTAGGCTGTGGAGACCGGAAACAGGGCCAGTTTTAGCTCCAGGTGGACAGTTCACTTATGCGATATCGGGCTTGAGATAATGAAAGGCACCTGAAAGGAAACACACGGAGCTTTTTAGGTCATGCTAGGACAATTCACAGCAAGGGGCAAAATCAGCTACAGGCTGACGATGTCATATTTAATACCGTGGTATCAAAGGATCCAGACTAATATTTTTATTCCTGAGACAAGTTTGACACAAGTCTGTGTCTTTGGGATTATGCCCCATATGATCCTTGAGCTGACCTCATTAAGAACATGTGTTTCTAATGCCAGGGGTTATTTCATTTTGGCCAACCCTCGTGTTTCACCTCGTGGCACTCGGGCTTCACATCGCGGCAATTAATAACCGCAAGATGTTGTTGACATCAGCTAAGAAAATAACGATACAAGGGAGCCCTTGCTGGGACAGAAGGCGGGCTCTGTCACAACACTGGGACTGACACCGGGACGTCAGGCCTAGTCATGCCGCCGCCGCCGCCCCTTTCTTGAGGAAGGGCTCAGATTTTTCATCCTGTCAGGAGTCATTAGCCCCAGAGAGACCAAGGCTTACTTTGTCCGTACTGCCCATATTGGTAGCCTGTGACAGGGTCCATACTGTAGCCCGTGGTGGTATAGGTGGGTGGACAGTAGGACTGAGATGTTGGCAGACTGTCCAAGCTCTTCATATGGTCTAGTCTCTGACTGCAGCTGGCCGACACCGTGGTGGTAGGTTCCAGGCCCCCGGTGAGAGGGGAGAGAGCATAGTCGGTCTGGGGCTGATGGGGCACGCCACCGTGGTTGGTCAGGAGTCCCATTACCTAAAATAAACAGGCAGATTGGGAAGAAGTAAGAATGCAGAGAGGCCCGGATCATAGCTGAGAGCTGAAAGGATAACTGGAGAAGTCCCATCTTCATTTCTTTGGAAATCTGCTCGCACAGGGCTGTCCAGAAGACACTGACCACAACGCAAAGGGGCTCGGACACTGCATCGTGCCCAGTGATAGCCATCGGACTTCGGTTTCAGAAAAAGGAAAGGTGGGGCGTGGAGGGAGCAGGGGGGAGGGAGGGAAAAGGAAAAGAGGTGGAATGAGCGCCTCACCATGCCTCTAGCGATAAAATCGGTCTAGAATTTCAAAGAAGGGACAGAAGGACGGAGGGAGAAATTCTATCTGTTGATACAGAACACTGGCTAATCATATATTACATCTGGAAGTTTCACATGTGATTTTAAACAGACATTAGCTTATATATTTCTTTTTTAATTCAACAGATTCAGGGGTGCCCGGGTGGCTCAGTGGTTAAGCATCTGCCTTCGGCTCAGGTCATGATCCCAGGGTCCTGGGATCGAGCCCCACGTCCGGTTCCCTGCTCCACGGGGAGCCTGCTTCTCCGTCTCCCTTTGCCTCTCCCCCTGCTTGTGCTCTTTCTTGCTCTCTCTGTCACTATCTGTCTCTATCAAATAAATAAATAAATAAAATCTTTTAAAAAATTAAAAATAAATAAATAAAAATCAACGGATTCAAATGAAATTCTTTTCATGTATTTTAAGATGCCAGTGTCTATTCTCGTAGCGTTCCCTCTCAAGAAAGTTCCTCTCCCTATCTTGGCCATCCCTAAGTAATCAGAGATAATTACTCGTCCTCTGATGCTCCTGGGTGCTTTACTCATCCCTCCCACTGTGCAATCATGACTTTGGTCACCTACTTTGAATTATGAGAGTTTTGAGGGCAATAACCGACTCACCTTTATATTCCTAGCACCCAACGTGGTACTTGACACATATTAGGTACTGAGGGAGGGAGAGAGGGAGGGATGGAAGGGAGGGAGGAAGGGAAGGAAGGAAAGGAGGGAAGGAGGGAGGGAGGGAAGGAGGAAAGGAGGGAGGGAGGGAGGGAGGAAGGAAGGAAGGAAGGAAGGAAGGAAGGAAGGAAGGAAGGAAGGAAGGAAGGAAGGAAGAAAGGAAGGGAGTGCTAAAGAACTCTCCAAGTAACTGCCTCCATTCCCTGCCTTTTCATTTCTTATCTAAACATTTCACATATAAGAAGGTGTTAAAAGGAAAGAAAAGCCCGAAATACAAGCATGTTCTAAAAACTCTGTTCAGTTTTGTAAATAACCCTAGAAAGCAAGAAAACTTTAAAAGACAAAAACAAGGGGCGCCTGGGTGGCTCAGTCGTTAAGCATCTGCCTTCGGCTCAGGTCATGATCCCAGGGTCCTGGGATCGAGTCCCACATCGGGCTCCCTGCTCGGCGGGAAGCCTGCTTCTCCCTCTCCCATTCCCCCTGCTTGTGTTCCTGCTCTCGCTATCTCTCTCTCTGTCAAATAAATAAATAAAATCTCTTAAAAAAAAAAAAAAAAGACAAAAACAAAACAAAACAACCACCACCTTGCGATTAACAGGCCAACTTTCAGATCACACGGGGAAGTGTTCTGCAAACCCAAGCTCGCTGACCCTTACAGCTCCTGGGGATGGAAGTTAAGTGGCTAACTAATTTGGCAGCTGGAAAACCGCCCCGGGAGAGTGGGAGTGATTCTTCTCAACTTCGTACCATCCAGCGGCAGGGGTCAAGAAACAATTGCAAGAAGAGATGGGGACAGCGTGAAGAGCCTGTTTACCGAGCATTTCAGGCGGGAGCCATAACCACACACAGGGCCACCATCTCCCTGCTGGGCTTGAGGGAGTTTGAAGCATAGAGGGGCGAAGTTACAAATACGAGCGAGAGGAGAGGGTAGCGGTGAGCCCCAAGCCAGGACTCTGGCCTCGCGCTGTCCGCCCAGGTAATTCAGGCCACAGACTCCTGGGTGGAGGGGGTCCAGCAAGGCGGGAGAGAGGGCCTAGCCTTGCATCCCAGAAAAGACATCTTAGATTCCAAAACCAATGACACCACCATCCCCTTTGGGAAGGGTCTGCATCCGCCTCCTATCTAACCAAAATCTTCTTGAAATGCAGCTTTAAACTGATCTACATGTTCAGTTAGCCCCAAGAGACAAAAGTGGGGGGCAGGTCTGCTTAACCACCTTCCATGGATGACCCTTTCTTGCTCTACTTTAACAAGCCACCAATTTCCCCCACCTTTCCCCCCGAAGAGCTAGTCTCTGTTTCCTCGTCTGCCTTTTCGTTTGAGTTGTGTGTGCAAGCATGTGGGAAGCGGGGGGCCAGTGTGTGGAAAGCAACACAGCAATACCCAGATTTTTAAAGATGTTCCAGGGGATCTAAATTTTCTCGAGTTACGTGGTGAAATAGCTTTTTAAAAAGCCTTAAAAACTACTTATATTCTAAAAAAATAATCATACGTGACAGAGCGTCATTTTATTTTACTGGGGATTTGGGGAAAGTGAGAGTCACAAAATAAAGAGCCAGTAGATTCTTGGAGCTCCGGGAGGGAGAACTTTGAAAGCAGTAATGAACCAGAACGTGGGGCTCTTCATGGGCCCTCCCCGACGCTGTTTATAGTAAATTAATTACTTCATTTTCTCATTTAAAAAACTTGAACATAACTCAGAATGCATTTAAGTTATTTCCTGAATGTTCTTCCACCTACATGTTCTGTTTTTTCTTTTTTTCTTTTTTTTCTTTTTTTGCCTTTCAGTTTGTATAGATGATTTCACATACATATATCTGGAAAATTCAAAAAAATGCTATTGATGTACTAATTTATTATTTTATTTCAGCTCAAATTATTCAGGCATGTTCTACTAGAAGAAAAGGATCTAAAACAGAGGTTGTTCAATGCCTAGCCTACCCCTTTCAAATCAGGGGTATCTCTTTGTGTACTGGCCTGATGAGCAAGAATGGATGGGAAAAATAAAAATATGACAAATGTGATCGTGTCAACGAAAGGGAGTTAATGACATAGGGCACAAATATTTTATTGCAAATAAACTGTGCTAAATAAAAACAAACACTTAGCAAAAGCAATTTTGTAATTATATTAATCCCAAGAAGAAAAAATGGCCAAAGGAACTGGATAAAATGGAATTACATTTAAATTAATACTACCCTTCATGAAAATACTTACTTGAAACTTAGTTATCATTGTATCACTTTAAGGGAGAAATGGAATTCTCCATACACAATTATAGTTGAAGAACAAGAGCAAACTGTTATTCAAAACATGCACACTCTCTCATGAACTACATGTACATTTTTGTGATAAACTTATTTTTTTAATCCTCTGCCATATATTTCTTGTTTGCATTAACTTTGAAAGCAGTAATGATTTTTGTCCATGGGAGAAAACCATGAAGATCCTAAAAGAGAAGAAATGAGTCCTTCCTGCAAGCCAAATTCAGTTTCTGGTTCTGCAACTTGGTGCAGCTGCTGAATTAGAAAATACTTGAGGACAAGATTGAAATCTAGGGCCTGGAAATATATCTCCTGGAGGATGGAGAAGACATAGTAGGATCTGCCAGAGTCCTACTCCTGGGCAACAGAAAGTTGCTGGGTGAATGGAACAGGAGGGACCCATTTGGGGTCTTCCTTTCAGTATTGCCTGTGTCCTACACAAAAAGCCAGTGACAGTTTCCGCATGATCGAGAGCCCTTAGCTCGGCAGCGTGGTACCCACAGTGGCTAATGTGAAAACTGAAAAGGATCAGAGACCAGTCATCTTTGCTCCCTTTGACTTCCCCCACAGAGCCCAAGAGACAGACATTCTTCCCACAAGTTCTTATTTCCACTGTGATGGTCACATATTGTCCTCATGATTTCTTTCTCGAGAATTGTATAAGGATCAGCGAGAGGCACTAGTATTTTCCTACAGGTGGCCCGAAATGGAAATTAACAAATGATTAGAAACTAACAATGATTTATTCCAGTATTTCACATGGAGAAAACTTGAGAAATATACATCTTTTTAATAACTTCTAATTTAAAAAATGAAAAGGAAATCTGTTTTGGAAAATAAAATAGTGAATATATCAATACAAAATGCATTACTTTCCCCTAACATAATTTAAAACCTCAAGTCTCTATGGAAGGGTCCCATTACACTTTTATGTACATTTCTTTAAAAGCTATTTTGTATTTCATGTGGCTCAAGGGAAGCTATGGAAATTTCTTTTTGCTGCACAAAGAATTTGGTAAACGAACTTCTTAGAACTCCCCCCATAATATGGTTATGGAATGACTTCCAGTCATATTTTCTTTCTCAGAATATTGTCGCAGTTTCTTTTATACATGCATTTTCCGACAGCAATTTGTCATTCAAAGCTTAAAATAAAATCTTCATTTGTTGTAGAATGGGTGTTTTCTCCCCCCTCATAAACCATTAGTAAGCTGTTTCTACGACAGGACTGGCACTTCTGCCTGATTTTTTTTTTTTTTTTTAATTTGGGGTTGAGGGAAGCATAGCCACAGGTTCTCACAAAAAATTTCAAAGAAAAATAAATAAACTGAGGGCTCTGTCTACAGGACATTTCTGTCTACGGGACACGGACCACACACTTCCTAAATGCCAGATAAGTCCAGGAGATGCAATGACCAAGAAGAATTTTCCTGTAATAAAGATCTCTGCTCTGTCCCACTGGGAAGGGGTATAGGAGGAAGATTTCACACGGAGTACAACTCCTAGGTGAGGCGTCTGAAAAAACAACTATTAAGTATATTTCTAAATTGTTACCTCCAAAAACACTTCCCGGACACTGTTTCTAAATTGTTTTATGGATAACCTTTTTAAAAAATCCAAAGCCTTGGAATCGTGTGCCAACACTTGTGTTAATCCTTCCATTGTTCGAATTATTAGAGACATTTTCGAAAGATCTCTTTAAGGTCATTCTCAAGTTTCAGAATTCCAAATAGGTTGTTTATATCTTGATTGGA